AATGCTTTCATTTGATTGAAACCAATCAACTTTCACATTACAAGTTTTGTGATTGATGGCCCTTTTTTTTATCCTCGCCTTTTGAAATAAATTTTTCTAATTAAATTATAAGATAGTATTTATTTTAAAATTTCTCAATTATTTAACACTAAAAATTTAAATATCATTATATTATTTTATGCTCGAACATGAAATCTCTAAAAATAATAAACAATTCTTTAACTATTAAGATAGTTTAATTTGTACCCTTAAGAAACAATCTTAACAACTTTTAGCATAACATAACTTAATAAATAAAGTGACACATAAATAATCTCAGTAGTTAAAATGAATATTATTCTTTTCAGAGGCATTGAATTCGGATAGATATGTTTATAAAATGTGTACACTACTAATAGTTAAAAAATATTATAAATAGATATTAATAAATAAAGTATGAATATATAAAATAAAAAGATATTGATACACTAATGATGAAATAATTTTCTTCACAAATTACTTTAACTTGTTATGTATTTATTTAAATATAAATTAATAATATAGTTGTTAGTCTAAAAAAAATCTGAATATACAAAATCAATGGCTAGCCTTTAATTTTTTTTAGTAAAATTGTATCAAATAGGAATACTAAGAATAATCTTAAATTTTTAAATAAAACATTAAAACAACTTTGATTTTTTTAATATTAAATAATATTTTGTTTTAATTGACAAAGAAAAAGAGTTAGAAAAATATGAGTCCAAATGATTTGACAAAGTAGGAGCGGTGGGGAAGGAGATAATAAATAAAGGTTGGGAAGACCCCCACTTGTGGCGTGGCGTTTTCTCCAAAGTCGAAATCCACTTTTAACACAATAATCAGAGCATTATTATTGCTCACACACCATCCCCTCTCATGGTTTCAACAGCGAAAAATGGGCCGGCCCAATTCAACATTATGATATGATCAAACCTCCACTTTTTAGTTTTATTTTCCTTCTCAATAATTTTGGGTTCCTAAATGCTTCTGTGGGGGAGACTGTACATTAACTATGGCGTTGCTCCACCACTCCACTAACATTGGTGTTTATTTATTTTTATCACGAATAATATTGAAAATTATAAAACTAAATTATATAAAATTGTTTTTTAAAATACAATCTTTGGTGTTTAAGGTTTAGGTTGGATTGATTTCGCATCCACAGTAGAGGATATGTGTTGTTGACTTTACAAATTAAATTGCTTTAGTAGTTAAATAGATGATTGTTATTTTAGATGTCTCAAATTTAAGTACGTTGTTTGCAGGGATATTTAAACATTCATTATTAAATGATTAAAAATATTTCGAACATATACTACCTTATAATTATCATAGATTAAACATATAGTTTACCATGTAATTTATTGTTTTCTCAGAGTTTTAATCGTAAACAGTACTTTTTCTTCTTCTTCAAACTATTTATTTTCCATTCTTTGCAAATCCGCTTATTGCATCAAATGTGTAATTATTTTCAAAACTCAAAAGGATGTGGTATTATTTAGGTTTAATGACATTTTTAACCGTTAATAATTTTATCAAACTATTTTTTTATTAATATGAAATAAATACAAGACAATATCTATTCAAGTATCAAACTATATTTTCCTACACTTCATAAAGAAAAACTTATTAAAACAAGTTAAATCATGAATAAATACTAAAGGCTTTACTAAAATTGTGAACATATACAATTTGATTAAAATCAGGCACTGTTTTAATTATTTAGTGAAAGATAGTCGGCATATGTGACTTGTTTTGGTCGATACAATCTCATCTAACATTTTTACTAATTTTTTTTTTTTAAAAACATCTCTACCGATGGAGAAAAAAAATCAAACTAGAAACACAAGAAATGATTCTCCAAACAAAAGAGAATTCCCAAATCCAAAATTTCTTTTAACTTTCAAATTCAAGAACTAGCTCAAGGAAATTTTTTTGGGTAAATATAATAGAGTAAAATGCCTACAATAAAAATAATTGGGGGTTAAAATCAAATTATGAGAAGTATAAAGGGACTAAACTGAATAAATAATAAATATGAGAGAGTGCATAATTCCTTTTGTCAGAGTTTGCGAAAAGATACTTTGCGGAAACTGTTCCTTTTAATTGTTTTTAAAGATTTATAGGAAACGGCTAAAAAACGACGTAGCTGGTTAAATAAGCGATCGATTAAAATTTACATCGATTATGTTATATCATTTAATCGGAAATATTATCAAGTACAATAACATATTATGTAGCACTTATATAATGCAATAGGTATCGCTTATATAATAAAATAGATATTTAAGCGGAAATATTATCAAGTAAAATAACATATTAAGTAGCGCTTATATAATAAAATATGCATTTAATCGAAAATATTATCAAGTACAATAACATATTAGGCAACGCTTATATAATATAATAGGTAGTATTTATATTGACCTATTTTCTAACTAAACCGGTATATTTATACCGATAACATTGAAAATTTGCCTATTACGTTATAATTATTAGTTTCGATGTTTTTGGGATCGATACAATTTTAAATGTATCGACACTTTATGTGTGCACCTCGTTGGGCATTCATTCTGGAAAAAAGTATCGACACAAACTTAAAACGTGTCGATACATTATGTAGACCTATTTTCTCATAAAATCGGTATATTTCTATCGGAAACATTGTAAATTTACCTATTATATTGTAATTATCGGTTTCGATGTTTTTGGGATTAATACTTTTAATAAATGTATCGACACTTTATGCGTGCACCTCGTTTGACATTCATTCTAGACAAAATGTATCGACACTTTTTAAATTTGTGTCGATACATTATGTTGACCTATTCTATCATAAAATCGGTATATTTATACCGATTACATTGTAAATTTACCTATTATATTATAATTATTGGTATCGATGTTTTTGGATCAATACTTTTAGAAAATGTATCGACACATATGTTTACCTATTCTCTCATTAAACTAGTATGTTTTACCTATTACTTTATAATAATTGGCTTCAATGTTTTGATGATTGATACTTACAATAAATGTATCGATACTGTTTTGGAAACTTTATGTTTAAGAATCATACTGGATAAAATGTTGGAAACAAATCTTTGTGTTTACTAATTTTGTCATTAAAAAGTTTATTTTTACCGGTTTTGTTATTGTTAGGCATAACAAAACCGGTAAAAATTACCTAAAACATTATTATTTCTACCTAAAACATCAATGTTTTTTAACATTTCCGGTAAAATGCCCTACAATAACAAAATCGGTAAAAAAATAACAAAACCGGTAGCATTTTTACCGGTTTTGTTAAGAAACTCGATAAAATGCCAAAATAATAACAAAACCGGTAGAAATAATGATGTTTTCGGTAATTTTTATCGGTTTTGTTATGCACAATAGTAACAAAACCGGTAACGTTTTTACCGATTTTGTTAAGAAACCCGGTAAAATGCCAAAAAAAATAACAAAACCGGTAGAAATAATGATATTTTCGGTAATTTTTACCGATTTTATTATGCACAACAATAACAAAACTAGTACTATTTTTTTAGCAGTATATTAAGCGCCGCATGTGAATATTTTCCAAGATTTATTAATATATTATTTTCTTAAATAATTTTTAATCCGAGTAAAACATTATTTTTTTCTCAAAAGCCCAAAAATGAAAAAATAATAAAAATAAAAATAATTTTTAGAATGAGTAATTAAAAATTCTCTATTGACATTTCTACTATCTTTTAAATTATGGATTCAATATTCATTAGTAGATAAATTTTTTTCTTTTACTCCTTTAAATAGAAATTAGTCAAATTAAATAAACTTGTAACTAGTGTTAACGTGTACCAGCAAGAGCCAGCCTGAAACGCATTGTATCAGGCGTTACCAAGTCAATTAGACAGACAGACTCCAAACTACGGATTATTTGAGATTTCAATGAAAAACCACGTGACATGGAGTAATTAATCAATCTTCTCTTACACATGGCAACCTGGAAACCCTATTGTTCTTTCTTCTTGCCTTGCCAATTCTTTCTTCGCACCCTTAAGTCATTAATACCTATACACTGTACGCATAATATAAAATATCACAAAGATATTATTATTTTCCTCAAAAAATGATATCATGCACTAATTCCATATAACCCAGTATAATTTCACATTTATTTTTATAATAGTAACCTATATAATTTTTCCTTAAAAGCATATCTTACAGTTTTTTACGTTAATATTACTTTTTTTTAAAAGATATATTTGAAAAAATATATTATTTTTCTTAGATAATTTAATTTTGAGCCGTTGTATTTACATCGTGTGTACACATAAAATTAAGAAAATTTTGATATATACTACTTTGTAATAATTTCATAATATTAAAAAATTAATTTAATTAAAATAGTTAAACATTAAAATTAAAAAGTATATCAATAATCAATTAATTTAACAAATGAGACATTAAAAATGATATTATAAAAAAATAATTTAAAATTATCTTTCATACTAAACACTTACATTGTCCTACTCGTAACTATTTGATGAATAAAAGTGTCATTTTTATTTTTTTTGTCGCTAATTACTGTTACAAATCTGATTATTGTGAAGAAAAACCCACACTAATTATTTTTATTTTCATTTCATTATAATTACCACCATAATAGGAAGAGTAAAATAATTTAAACTTCTTTATGAAAGTCGCTAAAGAAATTATTATACATGTTGAAAAATATACATGAATTTCCTTGATAGTCACAACAACAACAAAATCATATTTTCATATGTAATGGGATAAAGGGAGGTAGGGTAATAGGCTGTCTTCAATGCCAGGATTAAGAACAATTTTCGTAAAAGACCTCTGACAGTCAGAAAATTAAAAATAAAGATAAAATACAATGTATGTATAAATAAATAAATACATAGTTGAACAGTTTTCATATGCAGTCTTCATATGCGCATTTGTAATGAGAATTAATCTCTGTAAATAAATCCTTACGTAAAAATCTTAGAGTAGACCTTATGGCTACCGTTGCATTTGGAACAGAGAATAAATCTCAGCCCTTGGCACAAATCACAGACACCAGACCCCATTTGCAACGGTAACCCACCAATCAGCTTCTTCAGTTCTCCACACTCATGTAACCGTTTGACTTCCTCTGCCCCACTGATGTACGTTCCGCCAATTAAAACCAACGACAGGGTGAAGCTTTTACGCCCAATAATCCCATGCAATTCGTCCAGGAAGCTGGAATCCAATGACACATCCCATTCGTCGATCGGGACACAGAATCCCCGTAGGATTGATCGGACGGTCTTGCAGTCCTCAAAGGTTTTCCGGACGACGCGGAGGCTGGTGAGGTAGACGACGACGCGCTGGTCGGCGTTGGGGAAGGTGATCGACGGTTGGGAAGAAGGGGGAGGATGGCGGGGTCTGAAGGCGCGTAAGACAGCGGTGGAGAGCTTGATGCGATAGAAAACGGAGGGTGTTTTGGGGGATCGAGGATAGAGTTGTTGTTGTTGTTCTTCCTCTCTGAGGATGGCGTCAATGTCTTTGAATGAAGCGAAGGAGAAATGGGAGGGTGATTTAGTGGGGTTTGGCTTGTTTGATGACCTTAGCCACTGGGAAATATTTGGAGGTAAAAGGCTAAAAGGGAGAGATTTTAGGAGAGAAATTTGAGGAAGGGTTATATTTAAAGTAAAATGGAATTAATTGCATTGGCGGAAACCCTAGATCTATACGAGCAGGATGGAGACTGGGATTTAATTCAGAGATTCACACCCTGTGGATGAAATAATACTCGGAGTGATGGGCATTTTGAGGGTATATTATTTTTATATGGTGCCTTAGTGACGATCTGCCAACTCTCTTTTTTAATTAAAGAAAATTGGCGTGGAAACTTGAAATTAGGGTTCTCTTTTGAAATTGAAAGGAAAATGCCCCAGGGCCAGCAATGTTAAACTGTATAGGGAAGAAAGAACAATCAAATCATTTATCTGAACTTCTTTCTACAAGTGATTTTTGAATATGCATTTTACATTCCATTTTTCAAATTTAACAATGAGTAATGGAAGAAAGAAAAAAGATTCTTAATGGGAGACTTGGAACTCACATTCTATGTAACACCCCTAATCTGTATTCGGCCCGGATCCAAATTCGAGGTGTCACATTAACTTTTCAAAGCATCTTCCTTTATAAACTATTTAAAATTTTAAATTCACATTTCAAGAAAATGAATATTTTTCATTAATCAAATCAATTGGTTTACAAAATATATATCAGAGTGTATTCAACTCAATCAATTAGTATATGACAACTATATTCAAAATAATTGAATACAACTAAATCATCTCTTTGATTTTCTGATATGAACTTGGTAAGGGAGATGCTAACCTGTCTTGCTCCTCTAAGCTTCTCTTCTCGCTTTCCAAACCTACGTGTGAAACACTCACACGCTAAGTCGATGACTTAGTGAGACATAAATAAAATTATGATATAACTGTAACTTCTACAATGCATGATCATTTAATACTTCCATATCATACAAAAACGTATATTCTTCTCTATCACATATACACATACATACACATATCATGTAACATAACATCATACTTATATACATATTAAACCCTATCATTAACCTGCTTATCATTACTTATTTTATCATCACTAATTTCCTTTTATACCGTATCAACATATAATGTAACTCTAAATCACACCAATGCATGAATTGTTACCAATCTCATATCATATACAAATACATATCATCTTATAAATCATGTAATATCATTCATATCACAAAAACATATGCTTCATAGATAATATTTTTATTGTTCTCTCTTTCTTTAGCCCGTGTACACTTCTGAGAACTAAAGATATGTGAGTACATAGAGGTTGTGCACTATGCTGTCACCACAGCTCGTATAATTCCCACTAGGGGTATTGAAGTTTGTCCCGAAGGACCACTATGTCCCGAATGACCACTGATAATCCCTCGACTCTTGGAATGCCAACTATACATCTAGCCCTCATGACATATAACATGGGCATTATTATTATTTATCATTTCCCATATTCACATGTACATATCACTGTTCATATGATTTCATATTCATAAATCGCTTATCTTATAACACTTCTCATGTATTCATATAACATGTATATCGTTGCCATCTATTGTTCTCATATGTTTTCCATAAATCACATATACCACATAATATCTTTTATATCATTTCTCATATGTTCACAAGGTCATATCGTATAGATCATATATTTTCATACAATTTCATAGTTTAGTATTACCTAACTTAACTTATTGTCACTTAATTCACATATTACATATCGACACCTATATCACTTTTACATAATTTATAGCAACTTCCAAGTCCTTTTATATTAATTAATGACATATATTCTATCATCTACTTTATGCTTCATTCTTTTGTATTCACTTGGATTACATAATCTATGTTATATTATAAACATTTCTCACTTACTAGTATTTTACTTATATACTAATTTAATCTATTTACTTAAGCTCATTTCATATATTTCTTATAACCTTTTCATATATCTCCATAGTTCTTTGGCATATAACTTATCTTATAGATTCGTATTATCACTTTGTATGCAAATTTCCTAATTGATATACTATTCCTATTTCATTCTATTATATAAATTCTCCTAATTGATCATACCATTATATACTTGTCCAACTTATGTTTTTATTAACAATATAATTGTTACACATGTTTACCTAGTTCTTATCGGCTTTCATGAATTCACTTTTATCATATTCTCCTATTATTACATTTTTTTATATTATGGCCATGTCTTCACATAACCTTATATTTCATTACCATAAGACTTATATTTTGTCCTATTATGACCCTTCATATACATATATTTTCATTTCCATAAATTTCATAAATCTTATCACATCACTTATCTTTTATACTCATATAATTTCATATCTATCTTATATCATCATATAATTTATGTAAACATATATATTACTTATACCGGTTCCTATATCTTATCACACTAACATATATTCACACAAGTCATGTCACACATACAATAACATATTACTCATACACTCAAAACAAACACATACTCAGGTTCATAAATTCATGCATAATACTATCGGAAATAGACTTGTCGCAAGTCTTATTTCCATTAAACATAATATAATATCTAATATGTACTCACCTGGCCTCACTATTCAATACCGATCTCTTATCTATCCCCCTGATCGATCTTACTTGTCAATGGTTCCGGAACTCGTTTAGGCTATGCATCTACATAAATATCCATTTTAAGTTAATTATTAAATATATACACCTTGTAATTTGATGCTAATAACTTAAACGAATTTAATAGACCCATATACACTTTTTCCTTTAAGGGGTATCAATGCACTATGGGTGCATCGGTACCCAAAATAGCTTCGAAATTTCCATGCATCGATGTCTGCCGGTGTGCATCGATACACCCCTGAATGCATCGATGCACCTTAAAGTTGTTGTTCAAAATTTGGTCATAGTGCATCGATACCTATTCATAGTGTACCAATACACCTGTCCAGAATATACTGGTTTTACCTGAAAATCATCTACACTTCACCCAAATTTTCATATATACTACCCTTATTATGCTACTAAACTCATCTATAACAACTTTAACTAATTTCTATCAATCTAAAACTTTATAATCTCATATATTTCATCCAAATTCTTAAAGCTAAGAATCATACCAAATTTTCCATATTATCCAAACTTAATTATAACACTTATAACTTCTTACTCTCATAGATGACAAGTCAAATTCAGTTTACAATTCTACTTATCAACTATTTTCCAATATTTCACTTGATCACCCCTTATATTAAATCTTCCATAACTTCCTTATCTTTAGTTTTCTATCTCCTTTTAAGTTCTCATAATCTTTCCTAATGCTCCATCAATTAAAATCATTCTTTTAATTACAAGAAAACCAACTGAAAATTAAACTCACCTTAGCCATGAAGAGTTCACGTTGAGAGGAAAAAGAAAGTGAAGAAGACTTTGGAGAAATTATCTCCTTTCCCACGTGCCTATTACCCTTTACAAAGGGAAATAAAAATCTTCTTTGAGAAATGACAATAATACCCTTATTACTTTCAAACTTTGTTATTAAATCCAACATCAAAATTTTTCATTTAAGTCCCTGAACTTTCCATCTTTTATGAGATTGGTCACTAAATTTTCAAAAATTCTATTTTGGTCATTGACCCTACTTTTAGGATGTTACATTCTATCTCAATGATTGCTTTTATTTCATACATTGAAAACTCAACTCTAATTTTCAGCATGTAAAAACAACCATTTTCATTGAAAAAAATTAAGTTTCAAACATGGTTAGATGAACACAATGAAAAGTTAAATAAAAGCTTATTATATAACGATACAAATGGAGTGTTGAAAGTGAATGTAAGAGCAAAGTACCTGAAATTAATTTAACAGGAGAGGAAAACGAAACGGCGGAAGGGACAAGGCAATGTAGTTTATACTTTCAACGATAATCGAAAAGCATAGAACCAAAACGGCAGTGGCCACCATGGAGGATGCTTATCTTTTTCTAAAATTAATAGGTATATTTTTTCTAAAATTGACAGACATCTCTAAAATGGGTAGTTCTGTTGTACGACAATCTAATGTAAGACTAAGAAAAGATGTAATCGGAAATGTTAAATTTTTTTAACATTTCCGGTTGAACACAACTTAAAATGTTAATATTTTAACATTTTCACAACCTAAAATGTTAATATTTTAACGTTTTAGGTTGCAACCGATAATATTACCTTATTCATAATATTTCCGGTTGCTATCGGAAATGTTAAAAGATTAACATTTTAGGTTGTTAAAATATTCAAAGATTAACATTTTAGGTTGTACTCAACCGAAAATGTTAAAACAAAATTTAACATCTCCGGTTGCGCTTTTTTTAGCTTTATTTTAGGTTGTTGTTCCTTATACATTCATGCATAAAATGATGGGGTTTCCCCCCACCCACCCCCAAAAATTATAGGCATAAGTAGGGTGTAAATAAACAGAGCGATAGGTAAATTGTTTGTATAATGTTCGTTTATTTTTTTTGTTAAGCTAAATAAACGAGTATGAACAATTTTTTATGTTCATTTAATAAATGAACAAACACGAACAAAGGTGTTTTCGATTCATTTGTGTTCACAAACAAGCTCGTTTATGAACTCGTTTATTGATTTGCTCGTTTATGAACTCGTTTATTGATTTGCTCATTTATATTTATGAACAAGCTCGTTTATCTGGTTCACCTTTTCCTTTAATTTTTTACATTTTAAATATTGATAAAGGTGTGGACTAAACTAAACACATGATAAAAGTTGAGATTTAAACTGTGAACTTTAAATAATTTAAGCACTATTGGTATAATTTTATCATTTTTCTTTAACTTTCCAACGATAGGATAAAACTAAAAATTGAAATATAAATGAACTATAAATGAATATTAAACGAATATGTTATTGAACATATAAACGAACACGTTCGTGAATATTAAATGAATATGTTCACAAACAATAAACAAACGAATACGAACACCTTCAAAAACAAATAAACGAACACAATCATAATATCATAAATTTAAGTGAACAAGAAACGGACATTAACACTTTTAAAAATAAATAAACGAACACAAAATATAACTTTATCAGTTTAAGTTGGGTTAATTAACACCTTAATCAGAAAGCTCTGATAGCCCGTGACTTATGGTACATATTTGGGCCCTAAGCCCCATGCAAGCAGCAAACCAAGCGAAGTCGTCCAATCGCTTAAAAGTAAGGCTTTCTCTTTACAAAAGCAAAATAAATAAATAAATAAATGAAAATTCTGTACTATAATCAAATTAAAAGACTAGTTTAGATTGCTTTTATTTTATAATTGAAAAATATTTTTAGAAGGTTTAAAAAACAATTAATATTTTAATTTAACAATTTTTTGATCAAGTTATCTTTTAATTATTTTTTTTATTGAAATCACTAATTTTATTCAGAATAGGAAATATCTTAAATTACAATAAAGATTTACAATCATAATCATAAATTATGCATATAATTAGGAAAATTTCCTATAATCATTGAAACAAAATTAGAACCATACAAGGAACGATTAAAATCTAACCAAGAAAACTCGAACAAAGATAGATACAAACAAATCTAATCGCATCGACAAATGAACCACAAAAGGAGATCAAACTACTGAAAGATCACCGAAAAGTCGTAAATTATACTCGAGCAACATGAGAAGTTATTCACGAACGCATGACGAGTATCCAAATCCAATCCAATGATCAAAAACAGGGAATACCAACAATATAACAGATAAGTAACATTTTTTTATCAATTGTGATGATGTCAAATCAACCCTTAAAAAAGTAAATGAAAACATCAACCAAATGATCGAAAAACATGTCAAAATACAGAAGAAAATTTGTCATAAAGGCAGATGAAAAATGTGTCATACATTCAGACTTATTGAAGAAAAAAATAAAGATGTAATATAAGAAAATAAAATGACAATAAAGAATACCGATAATTGACAACCAACATTAAAATTGGTGTCACCTTCGATCAACCAAAAAAAAGATGAACGACTTACCAACGGGAAAAACCTATGTGAGAAAACTAATTAATTAAGTTCAATTTATGTTTTAACATGTTGATCATGAACTAATTCGTGAATTTAACTTGAATCAGATTGATCTTTAAACTTAATAAATTAAATTAATTTAACCTTTAAACTTAATGATCTTTATTAAATTATCTTATAAACATTGAAAATATAACACAAACTGACTCCTAAAACGTTAATGTTTGAAAATAGTTTAAAATCCCCCTCCTATGTAGATAATGTCACCACTTAACGGTCCACATCTATAAAATATTTAAAAATGAATTAATTAGTAATTTGATATTTAAAGTTGTTCTCGTTGTCACTTTGATATCTGAAGGGTTCCCCCCCCCCCTCAAACTCTTTAAACAAGTTTTAAGAAAATTAAAAAAAAAACTTTTAAGACTTCAAAAAAATATTTGAAAAAACTTTCTAGTATTTTTAAAGTGGACAATTTTTGTATTTTTAAAGTTTTTTAATATTTTTTAAAATTTAATATTTATCATGTATAATGCAACGTGTTTTTAGAGTGATATGATTTTATTTTATTTTTTGTAATGAAAAAACGGATGTGATAATATACATCATGGTTGAAAAGATCTAATGTGAAACTAAATTCAAAATTTTCTCCAGATACTAATGCAATAACGTGGTACAATGTCAATGACAAAGATACCATTAAACTCTTAAAAATTTTATACCTTTATTCTTGAATATTTTGTGTCGTATTTTCAAAGTTCAAAGAATAACCGAACTTGTTAAATTCAACGGATAACTTGATTAAAGTAAGTTTATGGTAATTTTGGCCGAACTTGTTAAATTCAAGTGTTGATTTGGCTGAATTTGTCAATTTTAAGGGCTAATTTGATTAAATCTATCAAATCCAAGAGTCAGTTTAATCAAATCTATGAAATTTAATAGTTAATTTTATTAAATTGATCATGTTTAAATATTAGTTTATGCTTTAAGAAAAAAGAAAAGTATTTAGTAATTTGCTTTTGCATTTGATTTCAAAAAGATGAAAAAAGAATTGCTTTTACCATTAAAAAAAGGGAAATCGACTTTTGTTGAAAAACATAATTAAAAAGTAGGATCAAAGCATGCGGGTCGTACCTACCGTAGCTAAGTGTCTCTTCCAAAAGCATTGGCACATGGTTCTGTACCCACTGATAACTACTGATAGAAAAGGGGAAAATTAAGTTTAGTGATTGAATTGATTGTTTTGGTGACTCATTGAAATAAAGATGCACATTTCATATTTATAGAATATATATTTATGTTCAAATTTCAGTGGGAATCAAAACGATAAAGATGTAGAAGTATACATAGAAGGTCACGTTCTCCCTTTAAAAGATTATTTCAAGTACCTAGGGTATATGATACATAAAGATGGGGGTGTAGATGATGACGTTACACACCGTATGAAGGCGGGATGGCTAAAGTGAGGGGCTGCTACCGGTGTTTTGTGTGACAAGAATGTGCCTCTAAAACTTAAGGGAAAATTTTATAGAATGGCTATAAGACCAGCGCTGCTATATGGATCAGAATGTTGGGCAATCAAGAAGGATCACGTAAGGAGGATGGAGGCCGCAGAAATGAAAATGCCATGATGGGCATGTGGTAAGACTCTGTGGGACATGACACCAAACTCTGCTATTAGGATGTCCTTGGGGGTGATGCTTGTATCCGAAAAATTGAGAGATGGAAGACTATGGTGGTTTGGACATGTCCTTAGGCGACAACTGTCGGATGCGGTCAGGAGGGTAGAGTCGCTTACAGTCGCCGGTGTCAGAAGGAGAGGACGACCAAGGCGGAAGTGGGAAGACTGCTTGAGATCTGATTTGAAGGATTTAGCCCTTACAGAGGACATGACCTCTGATAGGAAAGTATGGAGACTTAAGACCAGGGTAGTCGAATAGTGCGGGTCACAACCATAGGGTGTATCATCTCTGTCTCCTTTTTAATGCCTTTGTAGTAATTTCCATGACTTCTACTGTATATACGTTTATGTCATTGGAAAGTATGAAGGCTTAAGACTAGGGTAGCAGAGTAGTGTGGCCTTAGTTTAGGTCTTAACCCATTTGACTTTATTCCTTCTCGTAGCTTGCTATTGTTGACTTTTGTGTATCAATTTTCTCTTCAGGTTTCCTCTTTTTTAAATTTAGATGGATCTTACTTTTCTGTCTAGATGCAGATATTTTTACGCAGTGATTTATTTGCAAGGATTAATTCCCATTACAGACGCGCATATGAAGACTACATATGAAGACTGTTCAACTATTTATTTATTTATACATGCATTGCATTTCATCTTTATTTTTAATTTTCTGAATGTCGGAGGTCTTCCACGGAAGCTGGACTCAACCTGGCGTTGGGGGCAGCCTACTACCCTACTTCCCTCTTATCCCATTGCATATAGAAATAGGGTTTGTTGTTGTTGTTGTCGTTTGTATTTCATATTTATAACAACACTTTGAAGTACTCAATATTAACACAAAATGTCTGATCAGAAAATGAAAATAAAAATGAAGAATTCCTCTGCTGCAAATCGGGGTTTGTATCTCCGCCACACCACTAAGCTTCCAAATATGCTTAAATCACTTGGAGTTCCTAATTATACTCTTAGTCATATAATCTAAAACTTTTTATACAATTAATCACAGCGTCTATATCTACAATTTTAAAATATTAATACACATGTCCTACAAAACACATCTTTTAAAAATATAGAGAATATATTTTTATTAAAAATGTTACTTTCCTAAATAATTTTCTTGGGATGCTATTTATACAAATAAAAAAGAAAATAGTATTTTGTAATAAAATTATCTGTTTTTATGCGTTTCCAAATCAAACTCGGTCTCTCTACCTCCATGACCCAAAAACACCAAACGGTGCGTTTCTCAAATTGTAATTTAAGCAAAAGCAAGAGTAACCCAATATATATATAAGTATTAGGTAGTTTAGTTGAAGCATCAGCATTGGGTTGGTGATGGTACATCACGTAACAGCTGTTATTGTTGAGGATTTAGGCAACAAAAGTGAAGGTGTTCTGTCACCAAATTCTCACCTAATTCTCTTAAAAAGGAAGCCTTGCTCTCTGCGTCAAACCATGCTAATAATACAAGTTGGATAATGCAATGCCATCCTTCCGTTTAGTTGGAACACTCGCTTAGCTTAGAAGCCAACCCAAAATCATAACCCATTCACTACCCACTACTCTTCATTTACGTGAACAAGAACCAATGTACCTCATAAACTGCAATAACTAAATAAAATTATTTTATTTTGACACACATAATGTGAAGAAAGAAAATAGTGTATATAATTCTTATTTTAAAATATAATATAAACTGTGACTAAGTTGTTTTTTATGCCATTGGTGTAAATACTCCAAAATCTCAAAAATGGAAATTGGGTCACGTTCTCCCTTAAAACCTGAATTAACTACACCTTCCACCCAAATCACATTTAAACGCCATTTACTCTCTGCTTAACTCATTATTTATTACATTTATAATTGAGATCCGTTCAGCGTCAAATCAAATCACGATTCAGTATTTTTTTTGTTTTTAACTTTTGAGAGCTTATCTTGATATTTAACATATATTCTAGATTTAATTCATAATTTTTTTAATGTATGAATTATAATATTAGATTATTTATAATTTTCTGATTCTTAAATCGAATGTAATTACGTTTAAATATATTCGAATCTACAATCTTTTAGATATTTTGAATATCAACAGAGCTAATATTTATTCATATACTAATGTTTAATTCATAATTATATTGCTAATTTGCTTGTATATACATGTATGCTGTTTCGTTCTCTTTATGTTGATTGTATAAATATAAGCGCTTCACAAATTTGTATTATTTTTTCTATATTAACCCAAACACTATTCATAATCTCCTATAAACTCTATAAATTAGAATTTAATGTGTACTTGAACAATCATAATAGACCTTTTTGCATATTGGTAGAATCGAGTCGATTTTAGATCAAACTAGTACGAGTTTAAACTTTTTTGATATGTATCGAGATGAGTGAATTTCAAGCTAGATCAATTTTGTGTTCGGGTTAGGTTTGTGACATTTCAAGTTAGGAACATTTTATGTTAATTTATTCAAATTCGGTTTAACTCATTAATCATTTTAACGAGAATATTATTAAATTCGAAGTTATTTATAATTTTTAGTTATATAATCCTAATCTATCTATTACAATTAAATCGTATTTTTACACAATTTTTTATTATTTGGCATGTAAATAGGTATTTTACATAAATTCATTGATCTCATTAAAATATAATATAATTTAATTTTAAAATTATATACGAATTTAAGTATATATACTCCATTTTTGTTATGGATAAATTTACACACACTTGTAAACAAAGTTACTTGAATCCAATCACCTAAAAAAATAACCACTCCTTAGGTTGAATTTATATTAATATTTAAATATAATAAAATATATTTATCACATTATTGTATTACTCATGTATGTACATGTTATATTATATTCGTTGCTATACAGGTATTTCTTTTCATAGTTCATATTAGGTGTATTAAATATAATTTGAACATAATGATCAAACATTAATTGTTGAACCATGCCCCTTCAGCATAGTTTCCTATATTTAGTTCATTTATCCAAATCTCAACACCTCTAAGCATCCTAGACCCTTCCAAATAATTAAAATTTCCAATACAAATTAAAAACAAAAATATTGCTAATTTTAAAAAATGAAGCCTCCACTGCCTTCTTCTTCCTCAGGTGTTCTTAGAAAGCCTCGTCTGTCCCCTTACCTCTTCACTTTGTTAACTTTCATTGTTTTCGTTGCTATTCTCTATGGAGAAGACTTCATCTGCATTTTTGGACAGTTAGAACCAATACCCGGCCTAGCTATCTCTAGTCCAGGTGAGTTAACTCACTCCCTAAACCTAACCTCTTTCTCTCTTTATTTTCTTGAATTGCTTTGGGTTTGACTGAGCTTTTGGGTGGTTCGGGGGTTAGTGAAGAAAAGAGCGAAATTGCCATTCGCTATAGGGAAGAGTGAAGAGAAATGTGATATATTCCAAGGGAGGTGGGTTAGGGACGAGTTGACTCGTCCTCTCTATCAAGAATCGGAGTGTCCGTACATCCAACCACAGTTGACGTGTCAAGAACATGGAATACCCGACACAGAGTATCAGAAATGGAGATGGCAACCCCATGGTTGTGATCTTCCTAGGTAAAAAAATTCTCAACATCCTACTTTCTTTACTTATTTCAGTTCTCTATGTTACTGTATTTATGTCTTTTTGTTCTGGTATAATTCAACAGTTTCAATGCGACATTAATGTTGGAGACCCTAAGAGGGAAACGAATGATGTTCGTGGGAGACTCATTGAACCGAGGCCAATATGTATCATTAATCTGCCTTCTTCACAGCCTCATCCCTAAGCATGCAAAATCCATGAAATCGTACAACAATGATGCCCTTACTGTGTTTCGAGCCAAGGTATGACAAAAAACAGTATACCTTAATTAAACTTGTTTAAGTTTCCACTGGTTTTCATCTTATCACTGTTCTTGTTGTATAGGATTACAATGCCAGCATAGAATTTTACTGGGCTCCATTCCTTCTCGAATCGAACTCGGATAACGCAGTTGTTCACAGGATATCGGATCGGATCGTGAGAAAAGGCTCCATAACTAAGCATGGGAAGCACTGGAAGGGCGTTGATATATTGGTTTTCAACACCTATCTGTGGTGGATGACTGGATTGGAGATGAAGATCTTGTATTATCTCATTTCTTCCCTGGATTGTTACATTAATATATCACCATTTATTTATTGGTTCTGTCAATAATGGTACATGTTTTCATCAGGAAAGGGTCGTTTGAGGATGAGGAGAAAGAAATAATTAAAGTGTCGACCGAGGATGCTTATCGTATGGCAATAAAAAGCATGCTGAGATGGTTGAAGATAAATATGGACCGCAAGAAGACCAGAGTGTTTTTCACCAGCATGTCACCTACTCATGCAAAGTGAGTACAAATTACGATGAGTTTGTGCAATATTTTAATTTGGATAAAAAAATAATACATTTTGACAGGGGCATTGACTGGGGAGGTGAAGCAGGGGAGAATTGTTACAACCAAACAAGCATGGTTGAAGATCCAAATTATTGGGGTTCGGACAGTAGAAAAAGCATAATGGAAGTGATTGGGGAAGTGCTGGAAAAACCCAAGTTTCCGGTCACATTTCTCAACATCACTCAACTGTCGAGCTACCGCAAAGATGCGCACACATCGATTTACAAGAAACAATGGAATCCGTTGACGCCGGAGCAGTTAGCCAACCCTGTTAGCTATGCCGATTGCGTGCATTGGTGTTTACCGGGCCTTCCAGATACTTGGAACGAGCTTCTCTTTGCCAAGCTATTCTATCCTTGAAAACACCTCATCAAATTTTATAGATCACTTATTTTCTTTCTAATTGATTTTGTCCTGCCCCACCAGCCATTTAAGAATTTTTTTTCTATTTTTATTTCCATTACAAGATTTTGGTGTCAACTGGTGGACAAAGGAAGAAGAAAATTGAGCTCGGGAGATTTGTAAAAGAGATATTGTGTCTCCAAGTGATTAGATTTTGTTTTTATTTTCTAAATTCAAGCATCTCGTATGTTGCTTCCTAATTATATTGAAGGCCGGCAAGGAAAGAAAAATGAAAACAGTTTATTTAGCAGAGCGAAAAATACATCAACTACGAGAATCAATCCATTGTCTATCTATCCTTCGAGGCTTACACTTCAACACCTCTAGAAGTCTCCTCCACCTAAAATCGATCTTCAGAACTCAGACCCAGATCGACCGTCAAACGATGGGCAAACTACATATAATTTTTAATGCAACTTAAAATACTAAATTATTATAATGATAATGAAAATTATTCCGTAAAAATAGAGGAAATAATCATACTATAAAAATAGATAAAAGCAAATGTTTCGAGAACTTGTGATAAGAAAATATGTTTATTTAGATATAAAATAAAAAACTAAATAAAAATAAAAATAAAGGGACTGACTCTAGTCGCAACCTAATAAAACGCTTTTAAAGAAATAATAAAAAATTTAGAGAATCACTTTAAATTGAAAATCAAGAAGAAAAATATAAATTCTAATTTTAATATGGTATCAAAATAATTAGTTTTTAATTATAAAAGTAAAGTACAATTATCCACTTACTATAGAGAACTGTTTTGTTGAATTATTATATTACTATTTATATGTTCTAAATTTGTCATTTTTATTAAAAAAATTAACGGTCGTCTGAGTTTAACGTTAATCTGTTGACTGAAATATGATATAATTTGATCCTAGAATCGTTTGAGATGTATCTTGTAGATCGACACTCTATTTACATTACGCCGTGGAGCTAGTACTTGAAACATTATATCTTTTAGCCAATACTTGAAAACAACGGTTGTGCAAGTAGACATCAATAAAATATGAGTTTATCCTAAGGTTAACGTCTGAATCAGATCGTTATCAATTTTTTAACAAAAAAAGAACGAATTTAAAACATATGAATAATCGAGTGATCATTTTACAACTTTTAATAGTTAAATGATTAGACAAAACAATACCTATAATGCATACTTTACCCTAAGTATAATTACACTTTAATTAGGCTTTTTAATTACATTTAATCAGGTTTACACTGTCGTGTCACATTCAACTACAGATTTGTTGTTGACTTCAAGACACCAGTTGGTTGTGATTAAACCGGAATTGCAAATAAAATTTTGAAAGATACTGCCATGTCAGCGTTAGGCGGACAACACTAGAGCCGCATGTTAGAGAAGTCCGGGAGAAGTGGAGAAACTGAGGACAGAGGCGGACATTTCGAAGCTCTCTCTCGATCTTTCATTGCACCAACTGCTTACTTAGCTAACCAACCCTCTCTCTAATTCATTTCCCTCTTCATTCCACTTCGCTCTTTTTTTCCTCTTCCAATGGAGTCCTCCGCTGCTCTCCGATCCTTTCACTGTAACTCTCTCTCATTTATATTCTCTTTTTATATTCATTGTCCTTCTTTGGTTGAGTTTTGTTTAGTTTCAATGGAAACGAGTTAAGAAAAGAAAGGATGAACTGACATTTCTGAATATTTGAGTTTTCTTACATATATTTTGGATCTAGTGAGTTTATTTACTTTTTCTTCGTTGTGTACTTTTTACTGCAAATTATAGTGCTTTCGACGTTGAGGAATTTGAAATTAGCTCCAAAAATTGCGTATATCTGCTTTATTTATTTTCCCTATTTTCTTGTTCTTTTCATGCTGTGAATATCAATTGAGGATGTTAAACTCGCTTTCTTTATCAGTCTAATTTCCATAAATTAAAATTTGAAAGAAAGATAGATATATTTGGGAGTTTCTAATAGAAGTTGTGGAAGTTATTCCCGAAATGTCTTTGTTTTCATTTAGGTTTTATTATTTAGGTAGAAATATAAAATTGGCACATTATCTTACTCTATAGGTCTTCTAAATTTTCAGAAGACTTGTCCGAAAGTAAAGACTGAGCTCTTTCATTGATTGATTCTATTGTCGAACTGAAAAAGACAAAGTGGGTACTGATTTCATTCGTAAAATGCCTAGTGAACTATGTATCCCTCTAACTGGCAAGCAACAGATTCAATGTATTTTGAACATTTTTCACAATAGGAATGTTGTATTTCTTGTTTCTGGGTGTCTTTTTAGTGAAGATACTTCGTAAGATCAACGTTTCTACTGAAATAACCTGTGAAGTGGTGTCCTTGGTACAAATAATATAATCTGTTGCAGGCTTATCTGTTTTTATTATTGGCATTCATTTCTTTAGGCTTTGAATTTCTTTACGTAGCCAAGTATGGTTGCAATTCGTATGCAATTGTATGTTCTGCATATATGCCTTTTTTTCTTTTTGCATTTAAAGTTCATATGCTTTTATTGAAATTTAGATTCTGTAGGTGCTGTTTCACAAGCTCATTGCAGAATTGAAAGGTCCAGTACCTTCCATGTGTCTTCCATTTTCTGGCCAAATTCAAGAAAATCATGTGTCCCATGCTTGACTTTTGGCGGGAATAACAATTCTTCTACAAGACGAATTGTAACTTTAACGTCATCAGCTAAGACATCTGAAACTACGGTCACGGACAAGTCAAATGGTGACATTATATTGACTTATGATTTATATTTTATCTGATGATCCCCATTTTCAAAAAAAAAATATTAATTATAATTTAACTGCCGTTGAACCATGTTCCAGTGATAAAACTAATCATCATTGCATTTGGGTCGTTGGATAATAAAAGTTGGCTCTTCATTGTTAATGATTTATACTTGTTCTCGAAAGCAAAAAAAAAAAATTTATACCTAAAGGAAGATGGTTTTTAAAGTAAACCTTTATATAGTTACATTGACCTTAGCATTTTGTCTTGTTTTGCATGCTAAAAGTTGTTAATTATGTTTGCCACCCATTAGATAGCACCTCCCAAGGCTCATCGGAGAATAAATCTTCACAGAATGCAACTTTGCCAAATGGATTTGAGGTGATTTTTAGAACAGCAAATTGACTCTTTTACATCATTGCTCGTCATTGCTCACAACTTTTTTTATTCTATTGGTTAGATAATTAACATATTAGTTTTTTAACTGTCAGGCATTGGTACTGGAGGTATGCGATGAGACTGAGATTGCAGAGCTGAAAATGAAGGTAGCTTCCATTTCTCTTGTCATTTCATATGCTTGCATGCTTCTGCTTAAATTAGCCACATGCCTATGTGATTAACCTGAAAATTTTCTCTAAAGATATGTCTCAGTGCAGCTAGCCATCTTCAGGTTTTTAGTTCCTTTTATTTATGCATTTTCCCACAAATATAATATTTTTTGAATCAGTTATATGTTTCATTGCCACAGATTGGAGACTTTGAAATGCATCTGAAGCGGAATGTTGGGGCCACAAAAGCTCCCATGTCCAACATTTCACCTACAACAGCTCCACCAATTCCAACTGAACCAATGAATGAAGCAGGTGCTACTGCCCTGGCCCCATCAGCACCGAAACCCTCCCCTGAGAAGCCCACCCCATTCAAAAATGTTGCCTTTGGGAAGTCATCCAAGTTAGCTGCTTTGGAAGCTTCTGGATCTAGCAACTATGTTCTAGTACCTTCTCCCATTGTACGTGCTGTTTATCAAGAGCTAGGGTTATGTTCTAATTTATATCTCTTTGAACGCCGCTTTTAAGTTCCATCACTTTACTACAGGTCGGTACATTCCGAAGAGGTAGAACAGTTAAAGGAAAAAGGCAACCTCACATCTGCAAGGAGGTACTAGTTTCAGTCTCAATTGCATGTTATGACCTAAAACATTTAACACATTCTTTGAATACAAATATTGTTAATGTTTATCATGACCTTGTAATTTCATCTGGCTTTTCTTGATCCTTATTAGTTGTAAATACTTGCAGGGTGATTTGGTCAAAGAAGGACAACTGATAGGATTCTTGGATCAATTTGGTACTGAACTTCCTGTTAAGGTGAATTCAAATTATTTTCACTTGTTAGTTATATTTCTTTTCTTTTTTAAGTAGTATTTAATGGTTTGTGTTATTGACAGTCAGATATAGATGGAGAGGTCTTAAAGATCCTTTTCGATGATGGAGGTATTATCTGAATTTTATATTTATTTCTGTTCTAGTGTCTAGATCCCTTCATATGATGATGTCAGATTAAAGTTGATTTTCATTGAGCTCTGTCTTTGTTTCAACCGTGTTGTAACAGATGCTGTTGGGTATGGAGATCCACTCATTGCTGTCTTGCCATCATTTCATGGCATCAACTGATCTCTCTCTCCTACCTATGCTATTTTTGAGGAGATAATGTCACAGAGTCCTTCGGTATGCATTTTGTTTTCTCACCTTATTTTGTATTTCCATCTTTTGATCGAGTATCCTGGGCATAATCACTAAATGCATATGTAGCTGGTGATTTATTATCGATGTTACTAGTCTGTTGAATTCCCAGGATATCATACAATAATTGTGTAAGCGAACCATAGATTGAGAGCTTTATCAAGTGTATCATACAATGATGATGTGATATTATTTTATGGTGATATGTCAATATCATTGTTAATTTTTAACGAGTGGTCAAAATGAAATCAAAACGAAATTATGATTTTGAAAAGAAAAATAGTTGACTGATAAAAAGAAATCAAAATGTAATGTTAATTATTATTATTTTTTTAAAATAGTTGACCGATCAAAATAGAATCACCCAAATAATTGGGTGACTAACTTCGTAGTTTACCCTTTTTTTTCAATTGAAACCATGCTAAGATGCAAGGAACCAAAAGCCGGTCTATCAAAGAGTACCCGGAATTTCCAAACATTCTTGAAGCCCCACTTATCGGCCTTTGGAGCAAAGCATACTTGAAAACTTGATCATTAGGCATTGACCCAGGCCATCCGATACAAAACATGTCTGAAAATTCCCTTTTGATCGACCACTCCTTGGAGCGTAATTGAATAAGAAGAGTTGTATATAGCGATCCCCCTATATTTGGAATCCCCGATATCGACTTGAATTCCTCGATTTCTTTCATTTTCTTCTCACCAGGCCATGGAAGAAACATGGGCTGAACATACCTCCAAATCCAGCTTATGGCAAGTTGAAACTCCGAGCCCGATGTTTCGAAACCAGCCTAAGAGGCCCCCCAGTTGCCAAACTCCAAATACAAGCAGCCACTCGCTGTCGAACCGGGATTGCATCCATCAACATAGTATTCTTCTTTATCACTACCGGATCCAACTCCTGACATATCAACACGTTAAACTTACACAGAAAAATCAACAGTTCTTCAATAATAAAGGTAGATTTTTCAAATATATATATATCAAGGACAATTTGATAATATTATTATTAAAATATAATTACTTTCAATCTTCCTTCTCATGTTCCGCCATATTTTGAAGAGAAAATTATATGTATAATACTTAGTAAGGAAAACCTTCTTTCCTCTTTTCTTTCTTTCTTTCTTTCTTTCTTTCTTTCTAAATTTCTATTATACTAAAACAAATTTTCTTCCCCCTTCCTTTCCTCCTCTTTTATCCTTTCAATTTTCGGTTATACCAAACACAACTTTAAGGTATTTGTCTTCTTTTTCAGGAAAAAAAATATAATGTTATTGTTGAGTTTGGTGTCGTTTAATTTAATAATATAGCTCATAAAAATTAATTTACTTTAATATATATATGTATATAGTGCATGACGTGGTAGAAGTTACTTTAACCATCTCTCACAGTGATTCCCTAATTTTTATGATTTTGGCATGAGTTACTTTTTTTTATGATTATTTGAAGATGAACTATTATTTTTTATATTATTAACATAAAATAAAAGTTTCACGAAGGATATTAAAATAATAATATTTATGTTTTAGTATGAACCAAGCGGTTTTAGTAGTCAAGGCATTTGTTGATATTCCTTGAGGTTCTAAGTTTAAACACTACATATTTATCTATTTACATTATATAAATACTTGGATATTAAATTTTTTTTATAAATTTAATAAATGATATTCATTTTTAAAAAATAGATTTTCATTAAATACAGAGATAAGATACGAAAAATACAATTTTAACATAGAAAATTAAAGGGAGTGAAGAAAAATAAAACTGAAACATTCCCTTGAATACATGTTTCGTCTTCAAAAAAACCTAACTCAATAATCTTCATGTCTATATTCAGACATAGAATAATATTGAGGTAGGCATGGTGATTGAGGGAACCAATTTGACAGATTATTTCACAAACAGTTCTGAATGCATTGACACACGGTCACATAAAGAGATCTAACTATACGAGATCGTCATCTTTCCTAATCAATAGGTGCACCTTAATGAATGCAACACGACATGTCTCACTATCATGATAGTAAACAAAATCGTATCATAAAAACATACGGACAATCGTACCATAAAGATAAATAAAAATAAATGTTGTAAGAATATACGAAAATAAAGAAATCAAAGTGAAAAAAATATTTATTTAAATCTAAAAAAAATGTAAATGATAAAAGAAAATAATAGTGATACTTTAAAAGAAAAACTAGAGATAGGATTGCAGCTTTTATATTAAAATGGATTAATATATTTATAATGAATGATATTCATATTAAATAACAATATTTAAAAACAAAAGGTTGAATAGAATTCATCAAATGACCCTAATGATTAAAGGGAGTAATTTTTTCTAGAAATTTTGAGTTCAAAGCAGAGTGCATGTTGTTAGCAATTAAGAAAAAATCTAAACAGATATTATTATATAATCATCTTAAACTATTAAAAAATGGAATAACATGAAATTAATATCATATAATAAATTAAGGCTAAAAACCAAATAGTTTGACATCTGGAATCAGCAGAGCATGTGGTGTAGTGGTTGTCCCATTTATCATGATATATAAAATACATAAAATAATTCTTTTGTTGCTCAGTGACCTAAGTATGAAACAATATTATATATTAACATGTTCCCTCCTTAGAAGCCGACGTAAAATTTAGGGTTGACTCATTTCCCAATTTACCTTTCGGTTTATTTTTATTTAGTGCTTTGTCTGTCAAAAGGATCGAAGGCCACATTTTACAAAGGCATTGCGTAAAAATTGAGGTGGCATAATTTGACAATATAGATTATATCATCAAAGTCAAGTTTGTCGGTGGTGGATACATGAAAATGGCCATCCCAACCCTAATTCTTTTCATTTAAATACCAATCAATACACTCTCGGCCTCAAACCCACCTCGAAAAGCCGTTAACCCTACATTCTTTTGCCATTGACCCTAGTTTAAGGGGTCATCCTTAAGGATCGAAGGAATGGGCAGAGATAATCACACTCTTAAATATTTAAAATTATCATATATTTTTTATTGAAAAATTGTTTTCATCCTATGGAGTATTATAATTTGTTCCCTCTTAAAATTTCAAAAGTTTATTTTCTAATATAAAATTTTTCGTCTGTCTTTAATCATCCTCTACAATAAATAAAAATTATTATTTTTGTCCTTATTTTATAATTATATTGATTTTATTTTTGAACTCATCAATTTTATTATTGTGATAGTTATGATGACATAGTTGGGGATGAACTCCTCCAAAAAGATTCAGTTATAGACTAATATTTCGCGACCATTTTATAATACAAATTCTTAAATTAAACTAGGTAGAAACATGTTTTTAATTAGGGTAAATTGCATGGTTAGTCACTAAAATTTAGATTTTACATTGATATTAGTATTAAACTTTAAAACGTTTCTATGTAAATGTTGAAATTTGATTTTAGGTTCAATTAGGGTATTGATTCATTAAATCGTTAATAACACAATGAGGTGGTTATTATTTTTTATTATCTATTTTGTTGAATAAAACGTTTCTATGTAAATTGCATAAAATCATCAACTCCTCTGACCGTTATTTTTCGGTCATCATCGCTATCATTGATAGTTGTTTGTGACGAGATCGCTATCAAAATGTTTGCATGTCTCCTCTTTTTCTTTTTATTGTAATGATTTTTCACGGAATTCACTTAAAATCTATGAAAGTCCTTATAAACATTTGACGTTCTAATGTTCCAATCTCATCCAAAAATTATCAGATAAGGTTAATTTTGAGTTATGTTGTTTGTCTTTTTGAAATAATACTTTTTACTATTTGGACTTCTGAACACGTACTTCAAACTCCTCAAATTCAAGAAAGTTCTCCAACCCCAAAATGATATTTTTTTTGTGAGTTTAATTTTGTGAGTTTTAAAGAACTTTTAGGAAACTCTAAAATAATAAAACAATAGAGTAATATGAGACAAAGTCATCAGTATCTAAATTAGCCGCAAAAAACGTCGAAGAATAACAATTTCTGGCAGTGAATGAAGATGAGTAGAAAAAACTAATTTTGATAAAGAAAGTGATGACGTGGAATCAAGAATTATTTTTAAGCTTCTATATCATTACACGTTAGCACCAAAAACAATCGTTCGAATTTAACGGTTCAATTTTTAATTGAACCCAAAACTAAAATCCAATGTTTACTTTGAAGCGTTTTAAAGTTCAACATTAAAATGAATATAAAGCCTAAAGTTTAGTAGGTCATAGTGTAGTTTACCCTTTTAATTATTTTGAGAAATACGTCAAAGAGATTCATGCAGCAATCTTTAAGAATGACATTGGTGAAATAAAAAAAAAAGATGAGTGGCGACAAAAGAGATTCAACCACCGAGGAGAAATTGACTTTTTTGTGGCAAGATTGTTTAACACCATTCTGCCCATCACAATTCTTAATAGGCCCCGAATGCACACGAACGAATGTATGTTTATGTTCGTTCATTTAATAAATAAACGAACATAAACGAACACAAACATAAACGAACAAATTTTTTTTGTTCATGTTCGTTTATTAAGGAATATAACTTGTTCATGTTCGTTCATTTAATACATAAACGAACATAAACGAACACGAACATAAATGAACACGAACATAAACGTTGGAGACCCTAACTTCCATTGTTCTTTCATGAAAAATAGTCGACAATGCAAATCAACCAAATATACAGTGATAAATAGCGTAAGAGCTTATTAGCAGTGATGAAATGTTTGAAGATATCAAATATTTCGATTGATCTTTTAAAGATTGTAAGATATGACTCATAAATATACCGGTAAAGAGGACAGGGGATGGAGCGAAGTGAGCGAAACGAACATCAACTTTCCTTACAAAGGAAGTCTCGTAGAGGGAGTTACGATTATGTGGGTTGGGGGTGCGGGGGCTGCGCCCCTGCGGTACGGTACAGGGTTAATTTTGGAATTATGTACCAGGGTTTTCTATTATAAATAGAGATGTAACCTAAACCTATTATCATTGAATAAAAATTTTCTAGCGCCGCCTAGGCACCGAGGACGTAAGCACATTGCCGAACCTCGTTAAAATTCTTGTGTTCTTTCGTTTATTTTGCCCGATTTATCAACAAAGATATTAAATGATTCACACGACTTTAATTTAACGCTATAACATATATCTTAGTGTTCCATGATTACATATGAACAATCATTTTTCCTATTACACTCTTTTTCATAAATTGCATAGAAACCTTTGTTTTGTTTTCTGGCAACTTCTATATATTTTTCTTTTTACTGATGCTCATATATTTCCGATTTTTACCTTTATCTTCCCATCTATTTCTAGAAAGAAGTATTATGTTTTCTTGAGTTTTAGATGTGAAGATACACACAATAACTTTACATATCAACTATTAAGTCAAATAAAATAGAGAAAGAGATGAAAACAAACCTGTAAAACTTCATATTGCACTATAATATAACTTGTTTTGAATCTTTCAGAGATCGTCTCCACTCTCCAGTGAACAATAAGGTTTGGGAAAAAAAAGGAGAAATGAATATAAGTGCGAGGTGCCTCACAGGTTAACATATTGGATTTAATCTCCAAATAAAATTGGGTTAATTATGGAGTTGGTCATCAGAATATCAGATTAATATTTTTAAGATACTTACAAATTGGTCACCAAAATTGATTTAAGAAGATTGTGTTAAACATAAATGAATGAACATAAACGAACATAATCGAACGAACATAAACGAACATAACCAAACGAACATAACCGAACGTTCACGAACGTAAATGAACGAACGAGACCTATGTTCATGTTTGTTCATTTAATTAAACGAACAAAAAATATTGTTCATATTCATTCATTTAATAAATAAACGCACATAAACGAACTTCCCGCCGCACGGTTCATGAACGGTTCGTTGAACGTTCAGTTCAGCACTCTTCATATTTTTTACTAACAAATTTTCACAGTTTGGGTGCAGTCTTTTTGTGGCTAATTTAGGTACGTAGCTTTGTTGACCACTAAAATCTTTTCATGATTCATTTAAGCATCAAACCTTTCTCAAAATCAAGTGAAGGGGGAAAAATCATAACAAGATTGATATCTTGAACAAAACTAACCATGGCCAGCTCAATAACACAATCTACTGTGAGTTTTTTTTTAGTGATTATAAGATAGTATTTTTAAGAGTTTTTTTTTTAATTTATTGACAATTTATATACATCATGTAGACATAACTACACGAACTGAATGTCTTAAAAAGAACAATATTTTTATATCACTCAATGAGTTTACAAACCACACCAAGTTCAATGAACATGATTCATTACATGGAATATCTCTTTCCATAGGATGTATGTAACTCATTGAAAAGTTAAGTAGTATATCCAGATTTCCATTTGCTTAATTTGGGCACCTGTCAATTTAATTTCCATTGCAGCTAGTTTGTCGAGCTGTTTGGACTTTGGGACCAACTCCTTCCAATATATAGTGCATATACCACTATGATCCTGCCACGTAATTCAATACCATACAAAGAAAATGAATATAGATAATCACAGCCTACCATACGAGTTTCATTATATAAACCCCACTCCATCCCCACACAAGAACTCGTCAATGATGTTTCTGGTCTTTAGTATAAGTTTTCGTACAAGTCTCTCTATAGTATAATTTTCTCCTTGTTTTACTTTTTTCCCCCAAGGGCGTTTTCCATCAAGAACTGGCCAACACAAAGGATGCAATTCTGGAGGAATCCAACAAGAACCGATACGTGGTTCTTGCCCTCTACGATGCCTTAAACACTCGAGACGTGAAAGCCGTTCACCGAATCCTTGCCCCCGACATCGAGTGGTGGTTCCATGGCCCCCCGACGTACCAGTTTATGATGCGCCTTCTCACCGGAGCTTCACCGGAAGAAACTTTCCATTTCGAGGTCGATCCTCTCTCACTCACCACCTTCGGCTCCACCGTCGTTGTGGAAGGCTGCGATCATAAGCGTTCCATCTCTTGGGTGCATGCCTGGACCGTCTCTGATGGGATAATAACACAAGTGAGGGAGTACTTCAACACTTCTCTCACTGTCACTCGCATTGGAAACTCTAGCCAATCCCCACAGTCCAGCTACGATTCATCATCATCACCGCCATCCTCTTCTGGTTCTTCATCCACGGATGAGATTACCCCTGTGCATTGCACTTCGGTGTGGGAGAGCAGGTTTTCCAACAGGGTTGGGAAGTCTGTGCCGGGCCTTGTTTTGGCCATTTAGTCATTTCCATTAGGGCGATTTCTATACGATGAATAAAGAAGGTTGTGTTTGTTTTCCCACTGTATTTTTAGTGGTTGGATATTTGTGGGCCAAGTTGTTCTCGTGATGCAAGAATTCTCATTCGGAAATAAAATTGTGTTGCTTAGATTTTCTTACACTACACCTTATTTTATTAAATCGCGTCTTCGGTTTTCTTTTAATTATTAATAATTTTATTTTTATGACATATTTTTTTCTATTTTTATTGAATAGTTCAGATCTTTTGTGTTGGTCATTTTGACCGTTTTATTTGTTTAATTTTCTAATAGTCATAATTAACGTCATCTTAACTGATTAATATGACACTTATTTGTTATTATGTTGATATTTCTTATTTTGGACTATTAGATTGAATTTGAATACATGGTTTACCTTCGGTAATTTCTTCACAACACTCTATTTTGATTTACGATTGTTGGTGATATTTCATTAGGTTGATCTCCTATTATGATTTGTTTGTCGATGTAGTTAGATTTGTTCGTATTTATATTTTATTTGAATTTTTTTTATAAATTTTTAACATTTTATGTGTATGGTTCATCAATGATTATAGGTGGCTAGTTTCTTATGTAAAAGGTTATAAGAAATATCTTAATTATATGTTTAGTTTACATTTAATTATAAATTTTCATTGTAATTTTAGATATTTAATTTATTTTTAATAAAATTAGCGGTTTCTATTTGTATAACAAAATATAATTGTGTTTTAATTGAATAAATTTTTAAAAAAATTTAAAAAAGTAAACCATAAATGAATAATTATATAACATGGTTATTGATGAAATTTATACCTAAGAACTATAAAATGCGATTAAATTTTAATTTTACGTAAAATATATTTAATATTTAAGTCTATTTTTAAAATAAATATCAAAATTACAAATGAATTATAATCACATGTATAACTATATATATATATATATATATATATATATATATATATATATATATATATATATATATATATATATATATATATATTCTAATTTGATATAGATAAAACTTTAGTTTTTATTTATTTTTGACATATTACTAACACTGTTATCTATGTGGGGTTAATTTTCGTTAAATCGTGTAAAATAAAACGCTGACATAACGTTAAAATAAATTTGTAATATTTCCACATAGATAAAAACAAAATTGGAAAATAAACAACTTTAAGAAAAGCTAGGTTTACCATAAAAATAAAAAAAACCTGTACAAAGACCAGTAGAGTTTACTAACATAAAATTTTACGTTAGTTCTTAATTTTATTTATGTTTTTTAATCGATTGATTAGGTTTATTTTTATCTCATTTGAGTGGCTTTCAGTTTTCACTCATTATTTGTATTAGTTATTTGGTTAACAAGTATAACAAATAATAGAAGATATTTACGTTGACACAAAACTTTATTTTAATTACATTTTCCGTTCAAATAAATTTGATTTTTATTTATTTTTTTAAATATTTTTAATAGAATAAAAGAAATATGTAACTTTTTTTAAATAAGTTTGATGGAGCGATTTCAAGACAATATTTGTTTATAATAATTTTTAATCGTTCACAACACACACAATTTATAGATATAATTACTCGAAATCAAAAATTTTAAGAACTATATTCATTTTTACTACTAACACCACTAGACTCGCTAGGTTCAAGAAATATATAACTAAAATTTTGTGAATTAAAAGCATTTATAACATAGAGCCCAATTTGTTAAGTCGTAGGTGTTGGGCTCTTGAGATTTTGCTTATCAAATCATAAAATTAGTAAGAAGCCACTTTTAACCCTTGTCTCTAATTTTCCTACAACTGTAAAATTTCTTACAATTTCAATTTACTCTGTAATTTTTTTCATATAACAAGAACCTACAGTATTTCTTACAAAGTTACCGGACATTAGGAGAAAAATTAGAAAAAAAAATTACTAGAGGACTGAGACTGAATTATAAATTCTCAAGGGAGGCAATGACTAATTTCACCAATTTATTAAGCAAAAAGTTTTCTGTTTAGGGACAAACATAACCATTTTACCATATTTGGGGGCCAAAGTGAATATTATCATTTTATTAACTAAAAGTTTTTTTTATTATAACGATCAAAAGAATAGTTTTACAAAACTAAGGTGGCTTGATCCCTATTACACCTTGATGTCGTCCTACCGAACACTAGGATCATTACGAGAATGTCATTCCTTTATAGTAATTGAGTATTGTATAGTTTCTGGCATTTTAGAAGATACTACCCGTAAAATAATAAAGAGAAAATAACCTCAGTGATCGAAAATACCTTATAATATATGATTTTAACTAAATTTTTTTATACTTGCCAAAATGACCAATAAGATCGCAACGCGAACTCTAATTTCGCAACTCAGTTTTCAATTTCACAACGCGAATTTGTAAATCGCAACACAGAAGTCAAATTCGCAACGCGATAGTCAAATTCGCAACACAAAAGTCAAATTCGTAACGCGATAGTCAAATTCGCAATACAAAAGTCAAATTCGCAACGCGGAATTTCAAATTCGCAACTGAATTTCAAATTCACAACTAGATTTTCGAATTCGCAACAAGTTTTAGTTTCGCAAAACAAATGTTTTGGGTATATAACAACGCAGCAGCAGCAACTCATAACCTAAATCCCTAAATCACAATTCATTCCATCTCCATCTATCACTCTCTCTGGCGACATCCGTTCTTATATCCAACGACATCCTTTCCCATCTCTAATTTTTTTTACATAATTTTATTTCTATATAATTTTTCAATGATTTCTCTCCCAAATTATCAACTATCAACTTAATAAAGGTATGTTTTTCTCTAAGTTAGTGATGATATATAGTTTATAGCCCGTTTGTTTAGTAAATTAATTTACAATTTGTAAAATGAAATCATCTAATGTTGATCATGTTTGGATAGATTTGTGTTTTGGAGGGTCATAGGAGAATGTTCATGGTGTTTTACAATATGTGCCTTTACCCATGAATCTTCAACTAAAACTGTCATTAAAAAAGTTAACTTATGAAACTCTAATGTTACGTGTTGCAAAGAAATTAAATTTAGAGTATCTAAGTGGATTTAGGCTATCTTATCAGAGAAAAGGTAAAGTTTATTTGTTAACCGACAATGAAGATGTTGAACGATTCATTGCTTACATTAGTGTTTCGCAAGAAGATGATGTTACATTGTATGTTGTTGAACCTAGAAGTAGTGAAGTTGGGTCAGTAGCGGGTAGTAATCAACTAAGTTCTTCAACCCCAGTTTATGGTGCTCACAATGTACAATGTTGTTATCAACCTCAAAATTTAATGGTTCCACCACAATTTCATCACCAATAAAATTTTGTTTCACCACATTTCCAATATCAAACACAATCTCAAAACCCACAACCCTTTCCTATTCCAAATCTCAATCAACTTTCAACACCAAATTTCGGTTTTCTTATTGACCAGTTAGACGATTATGAGCCAACAGAAAAAATTGCGAGTACTAGTCAGTATTCGAAATTTGATCTTGGTCAATACCTTGACTTTGATCTTGCTCAATACTCGGATTTTGATGATGTGATGGAAGAAGAAACATACCCTGCATGTAATGATTTTGATATTGGTCAATACCTGAATTTTGATGATGAAACAACCGCTACCGAGGAAGATGTTGTTGATGATAATGATGAGGAAGTTACGACTGTGAATAAACATGTTGAACATCCATTTTGTAATTCATATAACCCTGAAGAAGAAAAAGAAGAAGAATAAGTCCCCGAAGAAAAGAAAAAGAAAAAAAATGCCACGGGAGTATAACTGGAATATGTCAGAATTACTTCAGATACCGGAAAAAGAGTTGGTAAAGATAGCAGTTGATTGTTACACAAAAGTTATTCGTATCAAGAAAGATGATTGTTTTGATACAAATAAAGACTTGAAGATAGCTTTGTATACGAAATGTGCGGAAGATGGCTATCAACTAAAAGTTAACAAATCAAGCAAAGATCGTTTCGAAACAAAGTATATGATTGACAAAAACTGTACGTGACGTATGATTGCAAAGAGGATAAAAGATTGCGAAATGTTTCAAGTTAGGACTTTTATTGATAAACATACATGTTCAAGAACCCAAGTTTTTCCTCACTATAGACAGACAAACAAAAAGGTGTTGGGTGGTTTTCTGGCTGAGTTAATGTTTTTGAATGGAAAGGTATATCGGGGACATGAAATTATAAATGACATGAATGCTCGGTTCAAGATTAGTATCTCATATTCTCAAGCTTGGAGAGCTAAATGTTATGCCATGAAATTGTTGAAAGGGTCGCCAGAAGCATCGTTTGCCTAACTACCAGCTTATTGTTACAATTTAAAGCTGAAAAATCCTGGGTCGGTAACTCATATCAAAACAGATAGATATGGACGCTTTGAGTTTCTGTTTATCACCATTGGTGCTACGGTTAGTAAATAATTATAATTTTGTTGACTCATTTTTATTAGTTGCATGCATTTCACATTTAAATGATTATATTTCTTGTGTATATGATTTTGTAGATTCGTTCGTTTATTACTTGCATGCACCCAGTTATTATAGTTGACGGAGCACATTTGAAAGGTCGATACCTTGGAGTAAACTTATTAGCAGTAGCCATAGATGCTAACAATGGGATACTGTCAATAGCTTACGGGGTTGGCAAATCTGAAACCTCTTATTCATGGACATGGTTTATGGGGCATCTTAGGGATTGCATAGGTCCTATTAGTAATCTGACAATCATATCCAATAGGGCAAACTCAATTGACAACGCTGTTAGAAGGTGTTTCCCAGATGCTTTTCATGGACTTTGTGGTGTTAATTTGTACAGAAATCTAAAATCAATGTCTGCTGGTATAAAAAATCACAAATGGATATACTGGAAGGCTGTAAAAGCTTATCGGGAAGTGGATTTTAATAAGCATATAAATTGTTTAAGACGTGTTTTGCCTCAATGTGCTCAAACACTAGAAGATGTCGGGTTTGAAAGATGGTCAAGAGTACATCAACTTGGAGCAAGATATGGTTTCATAACGTCTAATAGTGCAGAATCAATCAATGCTCTAAGTCGTCATTCCCGGAAATTACCCATTACTATGTTAATGGAGTTTTTTCGAGCCTCTATTCAACAGTGGTACTACAAGAAAAGAAACCATGCATGTATTATTTCTTTAAATTCGTAACTTATCATATATTTTACTAAGTATTATTTATTTAAATTTACAGGAACATTGGAACATTGTGTTACACCATAGACTGAAAAAAAGATAACGAAACGTGTTGTGAAGTCAACGTCATGGAGAGTTGAACCATGTTCAAACACTTCGTTTGAAGTATTGAATAATAACTTAAATGGGCTTGTCGATCTAAATGCAAAGACGTGTAGTTGTAAGAAATGGCAAACATCTGGTTATTCGTGTGACCATGTTATAAAAGTTGCTTTTCATCTAAACCAAGATGATTCAAGCGATACGATATGGATTGCTACACTACAGAAGTATATCGATAGACTTATGCCGAGATTGTCTACCTATGTCTACATCCTTCTGAGTGGGACATACCAGATGACTTACAAACAGTTTTGCCACCAGTCATGGACAACAGGCTACCTGGCCGACCAAAAAATCACGATCGTATACCGTCTAAGGGTGAAGAGAAGAGGATATCGACATGTAGTCGGTGCAAGGAAAGTGATCATACAAGGTTGACCTATGGATCACCAGTGCCATCACAATCATCTTTTCCTCTACAAAAAAATGGATCCTCATCAAAATTCAAAGCTCATATGGTGCCAAGCAAAAGGAAATTAAAATCGCAATCAAAATCAAAATCCCAATCACAACTGGCTTAACCTTTTGGGACTTATTAACTTAGGTGATTTTTAAATGCAAACGTTGTATTATGTGTATTTTATGTGTGAATGCATACATTTTCAGTTAGACATTCATTAGTAACTTGAGTTTGGACATTGCTATGATCTTTTCAGTTGTTATCATGTTGGGATTTTCTCTTGTGTTTGATTGCTTGGATAGTTGTTCTCTTACTTCTTCAAGTGTCCTTAGCTTGTATTTATAGTTTGGAATGTGTTTGATGTTGTATATAACTTGATGTTGTATGTTGCGATCAACGCGAAAGTCAAATTCGCAACGTGAAATCGCAAATCGAAAATCGCAACGTGAATTTGACTTTCGCGTTGCGAATTTGACTATCGCAATGCTTATTTCGCGTTGCGAATTTGTACATTCAACAGGTCTTTTTTGCCTTCAACATAATGCAGATTGAATTTAAAACAACAAATCAACTTTTACAAATCAATTAAACAAGCAAAAAATAATTCTTATTTCCTCATCAATTAAACAAATCAACTTTCAATGTAAAATTCAATTAAACAAGCAAAAAAAGTGTACCCCAGACTGTTGTTTATGCACAAATACATCAATTTCACGTAGCTCACGTCAGGAATAACCTGTAGAAACCAAACATTTGCTCAAACAATAATATTTACGCATCTAAAACCAACAAACATCAAATTATTGAATTCTCGATACTTAACCAAACATTTTCAAACCAACAAAGAGTATATATGTTAACAACACTTGCTCAAACTTACTAATTGTTTATGAAAACTTTCAGCACGCGGATGCAGGTAGGAAACGTCTCGCATATATCGCTCGAGCCATAAAATACCAAAACCATAAGCCTACTGTAGCTCTATCTCTATCTGTAGGAGGTAGAAAGTGTTTACTTCCTGTTGTCAAACGCTCCAAGCACATGCATACAAGAGGACCACAATCCCCTATGGCTCCCTCCGTTTGTTGTGGCGCGGTATCGTCTCTGATCATTGTAACTTTGAACTTTCTTGGCTTCTTGTTTCCAGAATTAGTCCAATAATCAATCGCATCCAAGTATTTCGCCAAATGAGCGCTCCATCCCTTACAAATAATATCTCTCAAATTAGACAATGATATGTAATTCAACATGCTGTCATATACCATTGTCTTCAGGGATGGGAGCTGAAGCTCGACGAGAAGCCAATGACGACGTTCCCAAATAGGGATAAACACTTGTAATCATAAATAATTGCGCACATCAAATAAAATTTATGAAAACCTTTAAAATATTCAAAAAATAAATACTAACCTTATCGACCTCCCACCACGCATGATAAAGTTTAGCTTTTCCATTACCCAACGTATATGAAGCATCTCTCGGATCCTTCAAGTGAGCTACGTTAAAAGACGTCGGCATAGTAGTCCATCGAGTATTTCTTATTTTCCTCAATTTCCTTATTATTAGAAGACGTGACACCCACGCATCAATATGTTATTTTATAAAAAAATACATATATTAGTGAATTTATTATTAATTTAAAAAAAATTAATAAAATGCAATATAAGAATAATATAAGACTTACATCCCCTTCGAGATAGATATTATCTTCAACCCTTAATAAAATACTCCACCAAGACCGATCAAAAAACAAATGCATAACATCGTCGAGTTGGCATAGGTCAGAATAACACCCCTTGCTCTGCTCATGTAGATAAAAATCAACTGCGGTCTTAGCCCAAAGGGTATTATCCGTAACTGTGTCCGGTAGTGTTTCCCTCTCCTACTGAGGAATGGTACTAACCGGTAAAACATACAAAAGCCAACTCGTATCCATCATATTGGGGATGGGAGGGGGTTTATCAATATGTCGACATATGATGCCATGTGAATCGGGCTCTTGAACGGCCGGCGGAACCTCTTGAACGATGACAGGGGCCTCTTGAACGGTGGGAGGGTCTCTTCGATGATGAGAGAGGCCTCTTGAACGATAGGAGGCGCCTCTTGAATGATGATAGGTGCATCGGGCTTCTTCTTACGGAGTCTTGGCACTAGTGGGGTGAACAGAGCCGTAATGGCACGTGCACGACGTCTGATGCGTGAACCCCGTCGTGTAAGAAAAACTCGACATAAAGCATCTACCTTATCGGGCCGTTGAAAATAAATTAATATATAAATCAGTAATTAAATAAATAAATAAATAATGTCGAAAAAAGGTTATTTGCTTTTTTAGTATATTATTAAACAAATTTACCTCATTGCGTAGAGTATGAACCTCATTCTGCAACGATGAAACAATCTCGCGT